CTTATTTGCCTCCATATGTATAAATATGACTTTATTGCTATTTCTCGATTTTTCAGCTTAACATTATAAACTCCTTTGAATATAGTTCAATAATAATTTAGATGGGATCACTACTTGGTGTTCATATTATTATGATTATCATTCATAGTAAAGCACAGTGAATGGTGTGGTCTGTTTCCCTCAAGAGGTAATAGCGGTCTCTTTTGGCATCTGTTTAGTTTTCTCACCACTCATCACTATTTCAAAATCTACTTTTTCTGCTTGGGCTGCCATAAAAAAATACCTCAGACTGGGTGGCTTAAACCACAGAAATTTATTTTCTCATAGTTCTGGAGACGGGCAGTCCAAGGTCCAGGCACGGGCACAGTTGGTCAATGTCTAGGCCCTTGACCTTGGCTTGCAGACCGTTCCCTGCCTTCTTGCTGCCTCTTCGCACGGTTGCCCCATGTGTGTGCACACCTGCTGTCTCTCTGCACGTCCTTACCTCCTCTCCTTGTAAAGACATCAGTTAGATTGGATTAAGGCCCATTTTTAAGTTACCTATTTAAAAAAATCTATATCCAAGTATAGTTAAATTCTGAAGTCTTAGGAGTTACGGCTTCAACATATGGATTTCAGGAGACACAATTCAGTAAAAAATAACCACTCCAAAGTGGAAATCTCCTCTCAATCTATTCAGCCACATCGGGTAACAGAAACTTCATCTTTCCCCATCCTTCGGGCCCTCTGAATGCTCTGCTCTGGTCTCACTGCTGGCCCTCAGAGCTCACTGACAGCTGTCGGCCCAGGATCCGCTTTCACATGGCACTTCCCATTTGCCTCTTGTGTTGGATCCCTTGAGTCATTTTTATCTTTACTCATTCCTCGGTTTTGATGAAACCCATCTTCCAGCGGCTTTTTGAGAGTTGTGCATTTTTTTTGTTTTTGAGATCCTTAATATCTATAAACAACTTTCTACTTTCTTCCTTGACTAAACTTTTTTCAGGACACAGAATTCTAAATAAAACATATGTTCCTGCAAAATTTTGAAAGCACAGTTTCATTGTCTTCTGGTTTCTGGCATTCCTGTCGAGAAGTCTGAAGATGTGATGAATGTTTTCTTCTTTTTCTCCCACTGTCCCTCCTCTTCATGTTCACCCCCCGCCTTCTTTTGGCCCTTGTCTTATCTCTTTCTCTCTGGCCAGTGTAGGTGTTTTCTAGTCCTTATTCTACAGGAGTGGACCCCCTTAATTTCACAGCTTTGGCCTTGAAATTTTAATTCTATCACAGCTTTGGTAGCATTCTCCTCCACTGTTTTCTAGATTGCCTTCCTTAAACTCCTGCTATACAGATATCCTTTCTCCCTGACTACTCCTCTAATTTTCTCACCTTTTAACTCTTTTTTTTTGTTATTATTTGGTATTATTGTTCATTTTATTATTCATCATTCTTCCAATGTTCTTAGATTTATATACTAGGCATTTTATTAAATTTATTTGTTATCTTATATTTAATTTCCAGGAGCTCTTTTTGGTTTGATGAATGTTTCTTATTTTGTTTTGCTTTCTTCTGTTCTATGTGTGTGTGTATATTTATATTTATATTTATATTTATTTGTTCTCTCTATATATTTGTCTCAGTATACACGAGTATAAAGCAAGAATAGTAAGCCTACTAATTTTATACTCATATGTATAATATCTTCTCATATTACTGAGGATATTTATTAAACATACATTTTTTTTTTCCTTTTTGTCATTTTTCGTGTCCGGCAACGGATCGCAACCCTCAGTGTCACGCCCGTACCAGACCGGGACCGGCAACGGTATCGCAACCCTCGGCGTCGGCAACGCACCCACACCTCGCTCAGCCAGTGAGCGGGAACCGGTCTGTATGTGGGATCTGAACCCTCGGTAGGAGTGCCGCCGCGCTCCCAAGTGGCGTACTGTAGCAGTGCGCCACCGGGCCGGCCCTTAAACATACATTTTAAAATTGATTTCTTCTCCCAAAATCGTACAGTGTTTTTTTTCCTCTGAACTTCTCTTTTCTGTATGCTGTTGTTTGTTTGTTCAATAATTCTTTCTTGTTCTTGTTAGGTGTTTCCTGAAATGTCTGGTGATCTCTGTTGTCTGAACACATGCGGGAGTAAAGCACTCAAAACCTGTTGGGAACTAAGTGAATGGAGGAGATTTCTCCATATGGATTTCACTGTAGGTTGATCCATCTGTGATACTGCAGTAAGAAACTCCAGTCTTTTATATCTTTGAACACATATACACACACCATGCACATGTACTTGATAGAGATAAAGGTATAGATGTATAGACATACAGATATAGATACATAGATGGAAAGCATTTTTCTCTTGTGATGGAACATTTCCCCAGAAAAAACTCCTCCAGTCTCGTGTCAATGAATATGTGGAACAGGCTGTAAGAGTTTTCCAAACCACTTACATAACTTACATTCGGTGAGGCCACTTGCTCTTAATTCCCTTAATTTGGCATGACACCTAGACCTTTAACTGCACCTAGTGTCTCTGTGCAGAGGGTATCCCTGGATCAAATTCTCCAAATAGTAACTTTTACCAGGGTTGGGAAAGTAACCAGGAATGGATATGTGGAGAGGTTCAGAAAATCAATTTCCCTTACATACTTTTAACTGGTATTCATACATTTGGCTCTACACACAACCCTACTTTCAGAGGTATCTGTTGCTTCTATTTCCTGAGGCTTTGAGTTCCTTTGCGAATGGCAGCCTGCTTCTGATTTATTTCCTCTCTCAGTTTTAAATTTTAACTTCCTTCTGTCTAAGTCAGTTGCCACTCATCCATCTGCTTCTAGCCTCCAAAATCCTGTCAGTGTTGTGTCATCTACCAAACCCTTTGTCTTTATGCATGTAAATCATTTTATTCATTTCCTGTCAATTTAGTAGAGTGTCAGTAGAAAATTGGATGCATTGGGCCGGCCGGGTGGCGCACTGCACTAGTGCAAGTATTTTAAAACAATGTTACCACTCAAGTGGCACAAGATTCACAATTAAATAAGTCATATAATTATAGAAACACAAGATTATGTTCACTTCAATTTCATTTCTTCAGTAATTATGCCTGGAGTACATACTATGCCAAACCAATTAAGAAACTATTCAAGTAGTGCTTAATTGAACTGAACAGAGTCTGGTCTGAATTCAGGTAGTAAGTGCAGAAAAGAAGGGGAACGGATTAATTTTTTAAAATATATATTTTAAAAATTAGTAGTTTGAATATTTTAAAACTATTTCTTTGGCCTATGTCGTTGTATTAGTTTTCTAGGGCTGCTGTACAGAGTACCACAAATTGGGTGGTTTAAACAATGGAAATGTATTGTCTCGCAGTTCTGCTGGCTACAAGGCTGAGATTAAGGCACTGGCAGAGTTGGTTCCTCCTGAGAGCTGTTCCTGGCCTCTCTTGGCTTGTGGGTAGCTGTCTTCACATTCACATTGTGCTCTCCCTGTAGACATATCTGTCTCCAAGTTTTCCCTTTTCGCCAGTAAACGGGTCATATTGGATTAGAGCTCACCCTAACAACCTAATTATAACTTGATTACCTCTGTCAAGACTTTATGTCCAAATAAGTTCACATTCTGACGTACCGGTGTTAGGACTATAGCATATGAATTTTGTGGGGACAGAGTTCAACCCATAGCAGCCCTCTTCACATGAGGATGAGAATGTTGGTTTAAAAAGTTCTTAAATGAGCAAGAAGTTTAGGTAAATTAGAGTGAGGACAACACAGAGCTTGCCATGTTCAGGGCTTACTGTCCTAAATTAATATAATAGAGCATACTTGTTAGATGCTCCAGAAAAGGACAAAAAATGTACCTGTGCATATTTTGCCTTTTTCTCCAGTCACTATAGAAGCTACCGAATATTCTCATTTGTCTGTGCATCACAGATACGGCTAGAGATAGACTCACTGGCTTAGAGACACAGGAGGTAACAGTACTAACTCAGCATAAAATAATGAAGCACTTTTTAAAAATAATAAAATTGAAATAATTTTTTTAAAATAGAAGTTATAATTTGATAATTTATACCATTTTATTTAGTCATAAGTTTATAGAACTTTAGACCTAATAAATATATCATAAAAATCATATAAACCAAAGGTAGCCAAATTCAGATGTGTTTCGGGATCACCTGGGGGTCTTTTTAAAATATACAAATTCCTGATTTCCACCTCAGATATCTTGAATAGAATTTTGACAATGCATAATTTTAGAAACTCTCCATTTGATACTAATGCACCCTTCCTGATCCATATGCCTTGTTTTAGAGTCAGCACCACACTCACCCAGTGAGCCAACCGGCCATCCCTATATGGGATCCGAACCCGCGGCCCTGGTGCTATCAGCACCGCACTCTCCCGAGTGAGCCACTGGCCGGCCCCATATGCCTTGTTTTAGAGTTGAGAAAATTGAGCCCACTTTAACAAAATTACATATTGTAGAACATGAATAATTAAAAATGATATAGTTCTGTTTATATATGACTCCTTTTATTTTAATCAACAGAAAACTAGAAGATTTCTACAAACTACTTCAAAAACACTTCTGCTGACACAATCAATGATGTAACTACTCCCATGTTATGGCAAAGAAGCCAAGAAATATTTGCTTCCCTTTAGTAAAATTTTAAAGTCATCAATATTTAATGTTGGAAAATTTTTTTTTAAAATTTTGAAAAATGTTCTAAAGTGGAAATGTACAACTTACTAAAGAAGATTTAGAAACTTACAGATGATGTCCTATCCACTTCACAACGACTGCTCAGAATAAAACAGGCCTCAGCATCATCCATCCTAAATAGAGATAGGAAAACAAAATAATCACATATTGAAATATCTACGTATTTTCTGAAAAATAGAATTTCAATGCTTAGTCCATATCTTGCACAAAAAGTACATGTAGACCACATTTATCCTTAAGCTTAAATGAAAGTTGAATTTCTAGCAGATCATGACTGTGTTTGACTCTGAACAAAACATTTAGTGTTGGGTTGTCTATAGAACTCGACAGTTTATGACAAAGGTAAAAAAAAATGCCAAACTTTATTTTCTCTTTTATGATTTTATATATTTTCACATATATGCTTTGAGTAAATTATGGGGGTGGTATTAACCTTATTCTATGAGTAATTACATTTTAACTGTAGTGCCTCAATTAAACCAAGAGAAATGGAACAGAGCTGTACAGTACTAATAAGTCAAACTCTACTGTATATTTATATTTCCTGGAGATGATTCATCATCTTGCTTCAAACTCCTTTTCTTCATGCTCAGGTTCTATATTTCTTAAATTTCATGATAAAGAAACAGTATATTTCAGTGCTTGATGCATACTGTTCTGAATACATAAAAATATTTATTTTCAGAATGAGGAATGATTTATCTTTCTGGTTCACTATGATAAAATAAACCTTTTCCAAAAAAAATATTTTCTATGGAGAGGAAAGATAAAAGACCATGAAATTTGACCAAGCCAAACAGTTCTGGGAAAATGTTGAGCCATGGTTACTAACACAATATGAGTATTGGATAACATTTTCTAAACATCATTTTCCACAAAGCAATTCAAAACTCACGCAACTGACCTTTGGAACTTGTTTGGAGAATCCTACTCCTTGTTCCTTGCATGGGGAATTGCGTTGAAGAATGTATTAGTTAACGTTAAATCCTGAGTCTTTTATATGAAGTTAGGATTAGAAATGAACATAAAAATGGATACCGTGTCACTCTTTTTTCTTAACCAAGTTTTCTGAGTCTTAGCAGCCAGCTATCTCTCCCTCATTCCCTTCTCTTTTTTGTTTATCCCTATGGAAGACTGCTTCTTGTAAATGTGATTGCTTTTGCTAAGAAATCATTTTAATACTATCAATAATAAATTAGTTATGTTAATCTTAAACAGTATCTACATTAGACACTGATAGCTAATACTAATAGCTCAGATTAATTTATTAGATAGAAACAAGGCTGTATTTATCACATAAATCCATATTGAAGATAATATAGGTATTATACATGCTTACTGTGTGAATAATCAACTCTTATACAATAAATAAAGCATATTGATTATCAACTCAGGTGAATATGTTGATCCAGATTACATTTGTCTCTAAGCAATTATTCCTCTAGAATACCCAAATTATGAGTATAGATAGCAAATAGCAAAAACCCAAAGCAAGGGTTTACTTGAGGTGCTGGGAAAATCTGATAATTTATAGAACTATTATATACTAAATGACCACATATATAAAGTATTTAATCCACCAAAAATACTAATATACTCTCAAAGAAATTTAATTTTCCAAACCGACCATTCATATTATCTTAATAGTTCCTGGTGACTTTTTTTGTTTCAGAAGTTAAATCACTGAAAAAACTTAGTTACACTGACTTTATTATATAGATATCAATAGTAATGTCAGAGTTCCTGACTAGGTGTCTACCTAGTCATTGCTTGCAGGATAAAGCAGCAAAAAGGAGTCTGGGAGTCTGTTCCACAAGGCATTCTACTTTTCTGTTCTTTTTCATCACCCCTTGTGAGCACACACACACACAGAGAACATGCACAAACACATACACAAAACATACACAAATCCATAAACACACTCACATCATACTTAGGCCATCCAGAAAATAAATAAATAAATAACACACACCATAGAATTTAATGAGGAGACTTTTATATCTACAAGTGTATGTAAGATACCACAAGGATAAACATCTTTAAACTTTAAAAGCACTAAAAATATTGGGCAAAACCACTGCTGCTAAAGATCTCTTTTGGTTTCTAAACTAAGGATGTTTTCCAGAAGCCCCGATTCCCTAGTGTTCACAGTCTGCCCAACTATGATCTCACTCTGCTCATGTGGTATAATCCCACGACCTGTAACAAGTGTTTAAGACTATGTCACCTTTAAGCTATGTTCGCTGGCACATGCCAAAAAGAGAGCAGTTGCCTGGCACAAGAAGAAGAAGGCAGCTAAGGAAGACCAGTCACCTTTCTGATGCAGTCCATATTGCAAACTGTTTAAAATTTAAACCCTGACACACTGCTTTAGTATCTCACATAATGTTCAGTATCCAGGGATTTGGAGACTACTCTATCAATGAGTTGAAAATCTTAGCCTATCTCTAACAGCTTAAGATAATTATGCATGCCACCCTTCTCTCACTGTGTTGTGTAGACACGGTCTACTAAACAACTTTGGGAACGTCTTTCCTAAAAGAGACTGGAAAAGCAGAGCAAACACACTGATTTTATATTTTTAACCTTTCAATCTGACCAGCAGTAGAACTAAGGCAAAATTCTATATTAAAACATACTTAAGCACATCTTGCAACACTATAAATAGCTAAAATTTGGAGGAGAGAAGATATTGAAACACTCAAAACTGTAAGCTGCAAGACAACAAACAGCTAGAAATACCTACTTTGCTCTCAATAGATCCTGATCTTTAAGGGCTGAACCTTGAAGGTAGATTACTCTTTGGGACCACATTGGAATCTGTAGTACCCTTCGAACTTGCACATCCATTTCAGTAGGGCACAGAATCACCACATAATAATCCTATTAAAAACAAAATGGGCAAAGGGGTAGAACCAATAATACTTTATGTTATATGAAATAAGTAAATAAAAGACCTAAGAAAATTTTGAAATATGATAATAAATGAAAGTTCACATTCAAAACCTGAAATATATTAAATATAGCATGCTATAATAAACATAACCGAGACATAAAAAATCTCACAAATCAATAAATTCATACTAACCTATTTCAATCTTACTAGTACCATAAATGGAAGGTAATCAACGGTGTAACCACTTCCAGCCTCTGAAGTTTTTAGTTATAACTACAGAGTGATTCTAAAATATACATTGAATACCAACTATCAATTCATACTTAAGTTGCTACTTTTAGAATCAAAACTGTGATAGTGATTAATATCACTTGTTAATATGAGTATCACTACAAACTGATAATTTTGAACAATTTCCCATGTATATTTCAATGGGTAAGCTTCATAAAAACATTGAAAATCCTGACCAAGTAAATTAAATAAAAGTTTGAGTTCAAAATATTTCAAAATAAGGCCGGCCCGTGGCTCACTCGGTAGAGTGCGGTGCCAATAACACCAAGGCCGCGGGTTCGGATCCTATATAGGGATGGCCGGTTTGCTCACTGGCTGAGCGTGGTGCTGACAAAATATTTCAAAATATATGGTTCTTTGGAGAAAATATCAAAGTATTCTGAATATTCAAACAATTTTAAACAAGTAATTTATATAAATTAAAATTCTCTGGTAAACATTCACCATTTTATCACTCTAAAATATACTTATTAGGAATTTTTGGATTTTAAAAATTCTCTATATTGATACTAGGCAAAATTAACTACTGTGGGATCAAATTTTTTCCTAAAGTAGATTTTCTTTTTTTTTTTTTTTTTTGTCTTTTTGTCTTTTATCCGTGCTCAGCCAGTGAGCGGGAGCCGGTCTGTACGTGGGATCCGAACCCTCGGACGGGAGCGCCGCCGCGCTTCCCAAGCGGCGCACTATCCAGTGCGCCACCGGGCCGGCCCAGATTTTCTTAATGAGTCATAATGAGCAATCTGAAAATTATTCAGTACAAATTTAAAAATCCATCAAAGAAATATCATGCTTCTTCAAAAATGCAAATTAATTTATATGAGAACAAGGGACCATAATATATAATTTAAGGATCATTTATAAAGTAGGTATTTTAAAATAAAAAATATAGTATTTAAAAAGATCTCCAAACTATTCACAAATCAATGATTTTAAGTTTTGTAAGGAAGGAATAATTAGATATACTCAGCACTGTCTTAATCTCTAGGACTATTTAATCTCTTGACAGAAATTTATTGAGCAAATATAAGACCTTGAAATAACTCTCTGCTCTTTGAATTAAGTGCATTAAGCAGGAAAGGAGATTATCCGCATCTACACTGGCCCACTACCACGGCAAGTGGAAGAACTATTGGAGGTTTTTATCTGTACAGACTGAAGAAGATATTTTTCTGAATTCATATTCTCAATTCAGCTTGTTCTTGTCCAATTTTGGGGCACTTATTGCTAGTATAAACAGAAGCTAGTTATACTCCATGAGACAAAACGGGGAAATGTTCTTGTCCAATTTTGGGGCACTTATTGCTAGTATAAACAGAAGCTAGTTATACTCCATGCGACAAAACGGGGGGTACAGACTGAAGAAGATATTTTTCTGAATTCATATTCTCAATTCAGCTTGTTCTTGTCCAATTTTGGGGCACTTATTGCTAGTATAAACAGAAGCTAGTTATACTCCATGCGACAAAACGGGGGAAAAAAAAAAAGTCTTTCAGACTTCCACATTTCTATCAGCAACACTTGACAAACTCTACAGTATTCAACTGAGAAGATGATATTAGTTTCTCCATTGATTTATTATATTTTAAGTTAAAATTCACTGTTTCATAAAAATATCATTTATGCTTTACCGAAGGGAGAAAAAGCAAACCTTTAATTCAAAGAAAATCTTTCTGAGTAGCATTAACATAATTCCATCTGTCTTTTAGTGTAGATACAGAAGGAAACTTAAAATACTGCATATTCCTCCAGCATTTTTTCTATGTTCCTGGTTATATTTGTAGTTCTTCATTTACTCTTCCTAAATTTGAGTGTATAAATAAAAATCCCCAGAATGTAGGCTGTACCATCAGTTAACTGACTTTGACAATATGTTAGTAGGCATGATCCAGTAGAGTGCGTAATATAATTCAAATGTACCTGTAGTCTTGGATGAGCATAAAATTCATTTAAAAAGTCCATAAGTAAATCAATCTTCAGTGAGCTGACACACAGAACAACATGTTTTTCAGTTTGAGCTCTATGTCGACTGTAGTTTCCACCTGACTTTTGTCTCTCCATCCACAAATAGGCCAGCTGTTCAAACTGTAATGTATTTTCTACATGTGAATGAAAAACACTGGACATGAAAGTAAAAAATCAATGCAGTACATCTATCATTTATTGGTACACTCAATTTCTTAGATGGAACTCATTGAGATTCAAATTATTAGTCTTCCCTTCAACAACAGACTTTTCGTATGATTTCTGCAGAGACTGCAAATGCCTCCCAGAGTTTCAGGTCTCCAAGGAAACATATTAACATAATTTTGCTATTCTATAGTAACAGGCCACTAAGAGGTTTGTGCCTCTGCTTATGTTCAGTAGAGTATGATACGATATGCCATGCGCTGAGTGAAAGAGAAAAGCTCATTGGCATTTCTCCACATGCTTCTGTTGAATTCTGCCCATACTTTGTGCAGTGGAAGATACCCTTACCACAATCCACAAGGCCACATTCACACTGTACATAGCTGGTACCTGAGGGAAGCAGAGAGTGCAAGGGAGGAATGTCAGGAAGGAAGACATGCATGATTGGATAGGAGTGGGAAAAGTTGTTTTTGTACCTACAGAAGGTGTATTAAATACACTGTGGCCAAAGTTGTGTAATGGAACAAGCAAGAATGATTTGTGTTCTCCATATCATGTTTCTGACCCACCCACCAATGGGCACCAGAGGCTTCTTATAGGAAAGGGTTGGAGATTGCACCTACTTATCTTTAGTCCATTTTATATCTCTGTCCATTTGCAATCTCCCTATTCACTCCCAAAATGCTACATTATATGTACATACCATATACAGAGTTTTATTTGATCCATGTAAGTAATTAATATTTATTTGTTGCAATGTATGGCTTTTAAGTTTATTTTCAAGAACAAAGAGAAATCAACACTCCACAAATTTATTTACTTGATCTATCATCCTATAATTAAAAACTATATTATCCTATAACTAAAATAGTTTAATATCCTATATTTAAAAGAAAGTATCTCGAAAAATTGAAATAAGAAATGAGCTATCGTTTGTGACAAGAGGAAAAAAAAACTACCTAGTGTTTCCAATAAAATGCAAAAAGAAATGTCTGCAATAATTTAAATAATTGATTAAATGTAATAATAGCATGGGTTTATATATTACTGTTAGATAACTAAACTTTGCATTTCCTATTAAATGTGAATGATTTCATTTAAAATTTAACATGGTTATATTTACCTGTATGGGTAGAACCACAAGAGCAACACAGATCATAGCAACCACAAAAAGCTTGGAGGACCATGTTTCAGGAGTGACATCCCCAAAGCCCACAGTAGAAAATGTCACAATGCAGAAATAAAGAGAGTCAAACAGATTCAGCTTCTTTCCTATTCTTTCCAGATGCTGGATTCCACAAATGCTGAAGAAATAAATATGCATTAAAACTTCCCATCTGGACATATTATTTCCCACCATTATTCTTCTGAAAGCCAAAGAACATTTTATAAAGCCGTTTGATAGTTGAGCTCTTATATTTTACAATATATATTTTTCAGAAAAATATAATTTTTAAGTTTTTTTCTAAATTAACCATATGTAGTCTTATGTTGGTTAACTGTTAGCCAAAAATGGTAGCCAAAATATCAAAAGGTATATTACAGTAACATGTAAAATGAATGGACTGAATTTCATGGCTGACACACACACACGGTGACCTTGAATACACATCAGGAAAACGTAGAGACCAGAAATCACTATACCTAATCCCTGTCAAAATATTATCTTTTCCTTTTCTTTTTTTTTAATTTAGAAAAAAAAGATAACTTTTTACTGTATATATTCATATACAGTAAAAGGCTTGAGAAGTTAGCGTTTGCCAAGTGCTATAGTTTGAATATTTGTCCACTCCAAACTTATGTTAAAATTTAATTGCCATTGTACTGGTACCAAGAGCTGGGACCTTTAAGAGGTGTTTAGGTCAGAAGGGCTCTACCTTTATGAATGAACTAATGCCACTCTCTCCAGAGTGGGTTTATTATTGCAGGGGTAGGTTCACCATCATAGGAGTTGGTTCACCTTTATACATTTTTTATATTTTTATTTCCTACAGCACTTAGCACAAAGTACACAGTAGCCATATAGTAACTAACTGATGAATGAACAAAAGAACAACTAGTTAAACCGTTTTCAAATAATATATGATAAACCTCCAAAGATACTTCATGCATATTTTTCAGGTTTTTATTACTGTATTACAAACTCTTCAAAATGTAGTAGCTTAAAACAATTACAATTTATCATTTCACATGATTCTGTGGCTTGGGTAAGAAGCACGTCTGGATTTCCTGGGCAGCTGCATTCAGAGAGGTCTGGCTTAAATGAAAGGTGCAAGATGGTCTCGCTCCTGAGCTACATGGTCAGTGTTCATTGTTGGCTGGGGTGCCTTGGTTCTTCTTTATGTGGCCTCTCCTCCCCCAGGCTTTACTGGCATCTTTGCTGTATCAGACAAGACCTGTCTTTTATCTGTTCCATTCTATTTGTCAAAGCAAATCACAAGGTCAACTAAGATTGAAGGGGTGTGGAAGTACACTCTATCTCTTCATGAGGGGAGATACACAATATTAGGTCCGCGTTTTTCAATCTACCAAACAATATAAATAACAATACCTATCATAACCTATAAAAATCTTAATTTTTTCTTGAATAAACCAAATTACAGTCAAAGGTATTTAATTTTTGTGATACAGTTATAGTTACATCCATACTTAACAATAATTTTTTAGAATCTTTATGTAAAATGTCATTTCATCTGACCTGGGAAAATCATGAAAATATGTCACATATTTGTTAATATCACACATAAGCCTAAGGAACCTGGTATACCCGAATGCTCTTCAAGGTAACATGAAAATAAAGATACCTATATGAGCTGTTACATATTTGGTATTATTATACAAAAATAAAAATCAACTTCTCTAAAGGACTAACGAAGGTGAAAACACTAAATTACTTTTAGTGTTTTTCTCTGATTTTGATTAGGCCCATGAACTTGTTTCAACTTAGAGTCTCATTAAATGGTACATTATTTATATGCATGAATAACAATGTCATTACATTTATAAAGTGTTAAAAAATGTATTCTAACCCAATAACTACTTTTAGCAATAAGTAAATAAATTTAGTTCCTCCCTCCAGGAGCAAAAAATAAGGCAGAGAATTCTCCAATATCCAGCCCAAGAACAGAGCTATTCTAACCCAATAACTACTTTTAGCAATAAGTAAATAAATTTAGTTCCTCCCTCCAGGAGAAAAAAATAAGGCAGAGAATTCTCCAATATCCAGCCCAAGAACAGAGCAATCCTTTCAAATTACTGCTCATATCTTCTTCCTTCTCTGTTGATAACTCTCAATGAAATTTCTATCATTCTCAGAATAAAATCCAAAAGCCCTTGGTTCACATGTCCAGACCAAATCCTGAACCTCCTCTCTAAACCTGCTCCTCCCAAATTCTTTGCCATCAGATAATGGTTTCCTAGCATTAAGTCTTTCGATTGCCTGTAGAGCACAACACCCAGTCTACTCTGTATCTGTCAGGCTCACTTTCTATTCTTCTCCCTGTGGTTCACTCTTCCCCAGCGACATGGTGCTATTGCCTTCTGACCAACATGCCACGCATGCTCCTCACCAAAAGCCTTGCCACGGACTGTTCTCTCTGGCTGAGATTCTATTGCTCTAGATAGTCTCATGGCTCAGTACTCATATCCTATTCAAATGCCATAATATCAATGAGACCTATCTTTACCATTACATATTGTACTAATCTTTCTCATTCTTTTTGATTAAAAAAAATTAATTTAGTCATTTATAGAGTTTGGTATGAATGCATTCTCTGTATGACAATGACAGTCATATAAGAGAGGAGATCCAAGAGGGCAGAGGATCATGTGCTTTCTTCATAAATGTTGCCTGAGATTGTCAAATAGTGCCAAGCATGTAATAATATTAATTAATATTTGTAGAATGAATGAATGAGGGTCTGAATATAAAATACATAGACTTTATTGCCCATATTTAAATCATGAAGGCATTTAGCCTATTTAAATATAAGCTAAAAATAATTTAGAAAGACTGAAGCCTGCAAAAATGTTTATCTGAGTACTCCCTTCACTGCAGAATCTAACACAATTAAGTGGCAAGAATAAATACCTTTTAGTCAATGAAATCAGACTCCTGTTATACAGAATATGGAAAAATCAACTCAAAATGAGTTAAAGTCTTAAATGTAAAACTTGAAACTGTAAAATTCATATGGGAAACAAGGAAAAGGTTTTTGACATTGGTCTTGGCAATGGTTTCTTAGATTTGACATCATAACCACAGGTAACAAAACCAAAAATAGACAAGTAGACTAAATGAAACTAAAAAGCTTCTGCACAGCAAAGAAAACAGTCAACAGAGTGAAAAGGCAACCAAGGAACAGGAAAAAATATTTTCAAACTGTCAATCTAATAGGGGGTTAATTTCCAAAATATGTAAGAATCTCCTACAACTCAATAGTGAAAAAAAGGGACAAATATTGCCTGATCGCACTAACATGAAGTATCTAAAATAATTAAACTCATAGAAGCAGAAAGGACAGAAGTGCTGTTCAATGGGTATAAAGTTTTAGTTAAGCAAGATGAGTAAGTTCTAGAGATATGCTGTACAACATAGTACCTATTGTTAACAATGAGATATTATGTACGTTAAAATATGTTAAGAGGATCGTTCTCATACTACATATCCTAACCACAAAAAAATAACCTTACAAAAGAAAACAAGAAAATTTTTGGAGGATGTGAATATATTTAGTAACTTGATTGTGGTGACGGTATCACAGGGGCATGCAAATGTCAAACTCATCAAAATGTATACATTAAATATGTGTAATTTTTTGTATATTTATTATACCTTAATAAAGCCAAAAATACATACATACATATACATACCTCTTTTTAAGGAGGCAGACGCATACTCTACAAATATATGAACTTTCCCACAGCCTTTTAGTATCACTTGAAATATTCAAGTACCACAAACAAGCAAATCAGGCTTTACTCTTCCTAGTAATTAGTATTTGTAACTTTAGTATTTCTTTTAGTTAGCAATACCTAAATAATATGATAAATAAAAATTTGGAAATTTGAAATGCATTTGAATTACTTATTGAAACTCATTCTGCTTGTGTAATGTACACGTAAATTATATAACTAAAAGCTTGTCTTTTTTTTTTTTTTTTGTC